ACCAACAATAATTTAAAATAAAACCATTTTAAAGGATTCCACACACAATAATTTAAAATAAAACCATTTTAAAGTATTCCACACACAATAATTTAAAATGACCTCCAGGAGGTCCCTGACTCTTGGTGTTTGTTTCACCAGTTTCTTAGCGGGCCCTGGAGTGGCCTTTTGGACTGGACATGCGGCTCAGAGAAAGAAAGACTAGATCAGAAGATTCCTACAAAAAATGTTACATTTCCCCCCTTTTCCTGGTCCTTCCCCCTTGACCAATGTCCATGCCATTGGACATCTCTGTCCAATGGCATGCCTTTTAGATGTTTTGGGAACAGCTTGGATGTTTGGGAACAGCTTGGATGTTTGACTCCACTTGGTGCAGTTTCACATTCTTTTCCTAAGCCAGGTGTCCTTGAAGACTGGCACATGCTGGTTCTCATGGTTCTGGTTTCTGTCAAGGCTGTCACCCCTCCTTCCCCCCATCTCTACTCTCTACATCCTATTGCCCACTCCCCACCCCAGCATTTTATGACAGCGTGCCAGCAAAACATTGAAGCTGAAGATGGCAGATCTGACAGATAAATAGATGACCATAATTTTTTTTAGGAAACATCATTTCCTAAAATCATTTAAGCAAGTTCGTTAGTGCAAGCAAAAGGGAATTGTTCCATATTCTGCAATCTCAGAATAGTTATTTAGAAAAAAAATGTTTATACTTTTTTTTTCCAGTCTAACAATGGCTTTCAGCAAATAAAAAATGATGAGTTATAATGAGTGTATTAGGGTTATTTTAATTGTCAAATTTGAAATGGAATATTATGACTTCATAGGCACTGTTCCACAGATGTAAGTAAAATACAAACTGAATTCCTTAAAAAATAACCAAATCAAAGGAATAGAAAATTATAATGGAATAAATATCAGCAATAATCTAAAGATCAGAGTTTATCCAGGTAAGAACTTTATTTTCTTCTCTTGCATGCAAGACGTTTTTTAAAATTTAGATTTATTTTCAGCACATTGGCTCCATGGGTCATGGGAAACAGAGTATCAGCAATCCCTCCTTTGGTTCTACTCCTTCCCTCTTTAAGCATCCCTTTCCTTTCCTTTGTCCTCTTCCCTAAAAAATAAAATACAAACCTTGACCAACAAGATAACCCTCAGCAGTCCTAGAAAAATAACGTCAAACAAATATATGTGGGGAGAGATTAATGGATATACCTATGGATTAATGGATATTTCTATGATTAATGGTAATCATAGAAAATGTATGAAGGTTTGAGATTCTGAAGTGTCTAGGTTCTAGGTTCCTCCTTCTAATCCAGGGATCCTCATTTTTTTAAACAATCCCTCAGATTGTTTGGGGGCTGGACTATAGTTTGAAAGGCTGTTTCCAAGGATGCTTGTCTGCACATTGGTCTTGTGCCTGTTTCAGCCTTCTGGACACGGCTCCTTTAAGAGGCAAGATTTCCGAGGAACAAGGGGGGGGTTACCATAGAGACAATGAATTGATGCTCCTGAGAGCTTGTGCGAGAAAGTGAAGAATTGGGGGGAAGTGGAAGGATTCCCCTCCTCCCTGTGGAGCTGCATGCAGGGTATGTTGGTCAGTTTATGGGCAAAAGTGAGAGTGGCAAGGAATTAAGTTGGCAGCACAATCAAAGCTGGGCTCAATGTAGGGGAGACTGTGGGGTTAGTTTGGCCAGACAAATTTATTACACCACCCCCCTATCAAAGTGGATCCTGGGTGCTTCACTGCAATGGAGAAACGGGCAACGAAGCAGCCAGCACGAGGGAAGGAGGAGAAGCAGGGAGAAGAGGGAAAATGTCATCCTCCTTCCCTAGTGCCACCCGCTCCGTTGCCCGTTTCTCCATTGCAGCACAGCACCGCAGAGCTTGCCCCACCCACCACCGCCCAGGTACCCTCACTTACCCTAAGCATTTCTTTGCCTACCTGATTTCCAGCTTCTATGTTGCATTTCTGGCCATCATGTGCAGGGAAACAAAAGTTTATGGGACTACAAAAAGTTCAATCAATCAGTTCCAACTTTGTGATATCTTTTTTTTCATGAGAAGTTGGAATTGATTGATTGAACTGTTGTTTTTAGTCCCACAAACTTTTGTTGCCCTGCACACCACAGCGAGAAATGTGATGGAGCTGTAAATCAGGGAGACAAAGAAATGCTTGGGGGAAGCAAGGGCATCTGGGTGGTGGTGGGTGGGACAAGCTCTTCTGCCCACAAAAATCTCTTCTTTGACAGCTGATGCCAAAAGGCAGAGAAAGAGCTGCCTGGAAGAAGCCAGTCGGCCTGGGAGTCAGGAATAGCCTTTCTCCCCCTCGCCACCCTTCCCCACTTGCCACCCCCAAATTGCATTGAGAAAGGGAGGCGGAGATAAGTGAGGGGCAGGAAGCCCTGCCATGCCCAGTGAGGGGGGGGAGAAGAGATGGCAACAGGAGCCGTCTTGCTCCACGTGCCCCAATGAAAGGCAGTGGCAGTCTGGTCCTTCCCTGCCCTCTCCGGCACTGGAAGCCAAGTGTCAGTCATGCGCCCAATCACCCATTCATTCCTCTCTCTATGTGTCTCTGAGATCACCTGATATCACAGTCCATCACACAGGCCTGGTACCTGCAACGGGATGGTGGGCGGTGGCAGCATCAGTGGCTGGGCGCGCTCAGTGAACTGCTCGATGAATTCGGGCCGGTGGACATAGTGTGTGTCCAGGCAGCAAACGCAGGCCAGGGAGGTGGCCTCAGTCAGCTGCAGGAACAGTGGTGGCTCTGGAGACACTTGCAGGGGAGGAGGAGGAGGAAGAGGAGGAAGTGTGCTGGGCTGGGCCTGTGGAGGGAGGGCTGAGGCTGCACCCACCTCCTGGGTAGCTGTGCAGTGTCAACAGCAGATCATGGATCATGGCGACACCGCGTGGGGACCAGGCCTGAGCCCCTCTTTGCAGGAGCCTCAACTGGCCTCCTTCAGGCAGAGCCGGCTCCGACTGCTTGATAGGACCCCTGCGAAGCCCCCATCTGCCGAGGAGCCCGGCCAAGGCCTCATCCGCCATCTGCTGAGGCATATGGACTCCTGGTGACAGGATGGGGTCCTTCAGGCACTTAGCTTGGTGGTCTGTTTAGGAGCTTCAGCCACTCCCACTGAGCTGTCCTGGGGTTTTGCCTGCGCCAACATTGCTTGTTGGACGGGCCAGGGGGCAGTTAGAGGAGCGCGGGTCAGATAAATTGCTTCAGTGGGCCATATCTGGCCGGGGGCTGTAGTTTGAGGACCCCTATTCTAATCCATGGAAAAAGACTGAAAATAATACAGGTAGTCCTCAACTTACAACAGTTCGTTTAATGATTGTTCAAAGTTACAACAGAACTGAAAAAAAGGACCTATGATCATTTTTCACACTTATGACCATTGCAGTGTCCTGGGGGGTCATGTGATCAAAATTCAGATGCTTGGCAACTAACTCATATTTATGATAGTTGCAGTGTCCTGGGGGGTCATGTGATCATTTTTTGCGACCTTTTGACAAGCAAAAGCAAACCCATAACAAGTAATTTGGAAGTTCTGTCTCTATCCAGTATAGTGACATTACTGATGAAATATCAGCCACAAAGTAAGACCACTTTTCTAACTTCGAGGGCCATAACAAGATAAAGATTTCATCAAAATGATGAATGCATTAGGACATCATGAGGTAAAGTTTGTCCCCCCCCCCATATATGACATTACATTGTAAGCATAAAAAGTGTCTGTGTTGAGGGTCGCACAGACTATTAGATTAGATAGCCAGAGGCATCATATGCCCCTTATTCCTTCCTGTTCACTTCTATTCCAATGATTCTGAGAAAGGTCATTAAGAGAAACAGTTTAATAAGATTTCTTCTTTCTTCCAGAGTCCTGCCTCCAACTGCTTGTTTTCTGCTAAAATTAGAAATGTTCAATAATAAGGTCCCTTTTCACAGCAAAGTTGCCCCTTCACACTCAAGGTGAAAACCATTCTGCTGGTTAAAAGTGGAACTAATCCAGCACTCATCCTGCAAAATCAGTCAAGGCAGATACTATGACAGTATCAAAAGCTAGTGAGAGTTTACTAAGGTAATAATCAATCACCAGCTAAATTTAAGCAGCCTAACTGGCATCTTATGATGCCACTCTATGGTTGTCAGTAATGAGGGATTCCTCTTTAATTCTTTTAGTATTTAAATGACAAGATAAGGTGGGGAATTTATTAATTGGGATGTTATCTTAAGGGTGCATTAAGTGACTGTATGCAGCCTTCAGCTAGCTGTAAAAGGCTACAGGAAAAGAGGGACTTTCTATATTTTGGGTCACAAAACCCGACTCCCCTCTCCTACGCAGCCCATGCAGAGGATCCGTATCTGCAGTCAGGTTTCATCGAGCTTGCTGCTGAGCTGGCAAAGAGCGAACGCTCCCTTTCAACGAAGCTGGCTAACGAGATGGGTGCAATTCACACGGTCGGGCGTGGGCGAATACCATGATATTTCCACTTAGTCTGCAAAGTGGGTGGGGTCGACTGGGAAACGGCCACAAATTCTTAAGAGAATAAGCCCAGTGAAAACTGGCAGCAGAGAAGAAGAAAAGGACAACTTGACTGCCACACTAGCTCGACTCCCCTTGTGCCTCACGTACGCGCGCTCCCCTCCTCCCTTTAACGACTACAGCTGCTTCTGAGGAGACGGCACCCAACTGGGGCGGGGGAGGGGAAAGATCGCTGCGCTTTACCGCTCCCTGCGCAGGATTGGTTGGAGGAAGGGGAGGGGGCTTTCATCTAACGGGCGCGCGCGAAATGAGGCGTCCTCGAATACGCTGCGTGTGCCGACCGCGCCTCCTTCTTTTGCCGTGCGCGCGCTAGCGGCGTCTTCCGATCCCTCCCTCCGACCCTAGCAGGCTAGGCAAGCAGCTAGGCAAGCAGGGCGGGCAGCCGAGATCGGAGTTGGCGGTTTCTGGGGGACTGCGAGCGCGATTCAGGCGACCGCGGGAGCCCTACGGGTGGGCAGAGGCGCTGCCTCTCTCCCCTTAGTCGTGGGGAGAAATTAATTTCGCTGGTTCATCTATAATACCAAGGTTGGGCACGTCAGCTCCCCCTTCCATCATCAGCCTCTTGCTGACGATCTTGGTGGGGGAGAGCGCGCGGGGCTGGAGAGGCCGATTTCGGCACCTCCCCTCTTTTTTCGTTTTTCCAATTTTGATCATTATCACATTGTCGGGAAATAATTCTGATACTACCGACCGAGATTTGAATAGTGCCACATTTGCCGGATTCATCGAGTCTTTAGTCTTTGCTGAAGCGTGTCCTCTTTCCCAGTCCTTTTATGTCTCCCCACATTTATTTTATTGACACCCTTTTATAATATTCGAGGGGAGGCGTTGGATTCCCCGCCTAATCTTCCTAAAATCCAGAGTCCTGTCCAGGAGGAGGAGGAGGAGACGACGGGAAGAGCAACCAGGTTAGTGATGACTTGTCGAAAGCCTTTCGACTAGAAATTGCCTCATCTTCTGTGTTCAGGAAGGGAAATGTGCATACGTATGTTATTTTAGAATTCTTTGTCTGAGTACTGATGCTTAAGTGTTAATGGTGACATGCAATCGTAGCTGTGTGAAAAATATTTCTTGCTAGTTTTATATTACAACAAAGCCTCTTCTGTTGTACTTATCTTTGGATAGAAGAAGATAGTCTGCTGCATAGAAAATAGTTTCTTGAACTGTACTGCTTTAAAATACGTTTGTAATGAAATAAGTATTCTGTAAAACCATGACTTTCCCCTTCAGACTTGCAGTTTTACTCATGTTTTACTCATGGTCAATTTGCCTTTTTTTTCTTTCAATTTTTTTTGTACTATAAGAGGGTTTTGAAGGTATGCTTTTGCTAAATGATTCAAAAGATTTTTATCTCATTAGAGTAATATCACATTTTCATGAGTAGTAAGTTTCATTTTGTTCAGTTTGAATGCTGCTTTAGGATCTTAATCAAACCTAATTTTAGATTATACATTTAAAATCACTCTTTTTTTCTTCAATAAGGCTTAAACGTTGAAAGCTAACCTGAATTCTCTTTTTCTTGTTTTCCAGATACTGGTGATGCCAGGTACAGTCTTTGTAAGGGCCCTGTTCTGAGGAAGATCCAAACAAGGCATTTATGTGCTTTGACTGCTTAGTCTTCTAAGCTTAATATTCTTTTCCCTTTGTTTATTCTCCTTTCCATGGATGTAATTTGAGGATTAAACCTCCCAACCAAATTACTTTAGTCATCAGAACAACGGTTAGGTGTGGACCATCAGAGTGTCAGGCAAAAACAATTCCCATGACACCTTTCTTTTTTTGGAGGTTCAATGACCAAATCATTCTTGAAGAGTCAAAAGGCATTGAAAGGACTTGATTATACTCCAAGGGGGTGGTAAAAGGGAGAGGAAAAAAAAGAAAGTTCCAGAAATACCTCTTCTCAGAAAGGAGAGCAGAAGAAACAATTCATAAGCATTGCTGTTTTCCCCACCTTTGTCTGGTAAGTTATACTCTGATTTTTTCCCCCACCCTACTCCTGTCTTAGGAAATAGTGCTAGATTAAGAGAGGGAAGGAAATGAAAAGGGGAGGAGTTTTGAGCATGGTCTTATACAATAATTTGGTATTCGGTTATGCAGTGTAGATGTTCAAATAGCTTGTATCCTGAATAGAACTCTCAACAAAAAGAAGAAACAAAGAATGCAGAGGAACTTCCTACAATCCTAAAGAAACTAAAAATGGAGTTGTTCTTTCTGATGTGTGGAATTATGGGAAATAATTTAAAGGGTAATTAGCTTCATAAGTAGCTGAAAGTAATTGGCTAGGTTTTCCCTTATGGACAAGTGAGAAAAAAAAGTTCAAAAAAAGATGTCACAGTTGGCTAAACAGTGCAGGAGAAATATTCCCCCTTCACCAGGATGTGGCGTCCTTTGCAAATAAAAGAAGTTAGAGGAGGCGTATAAGTAGATTGATGCAGTCAAAAAGCATGTTTGATCACCTGGTTTCTGTGGTTATTTCTCTAAAAGGAGTAGCAGTTGATGACTGGCTAATGTTTATGTTACCTTTTTTGTAATGATATTTAATTTAAAATTTACAACAGTGCATACATGTAAAAGGCAAATTAATGCAAAATCTGAATTAATATTTTTAGTTCAACTAGATTTTTATTTTGCAAATTCTAAATATTTCTTATATAAAACAGATAACATTTTCAATAAATATATAAGTTTTATATAGTGTGCACCAAATCTGTATTGATTCTTTTCACCTATTGATTTTTAATGTTACATGTTTTAAATGTAGCTTTTTTAAATAAGTGTTTATAAACAACAGATTAGGATTTTCAACTACTATACCACAGATAATAGTTGGAATTCTCTAATATCTTTCTCCATACATGGTTCTCTCAGATTAAATAAAATATGTTCATCCTGTCATATGATAAAGGGATTATCTCACTTTTTCCCAGGACATAAATATTTCACTTGATTGAATTATTCCCAGAGAAACTAACTGCAAAGAAACATTACGTTTATATAGTGTTTGATTGTATCAATACCATGCTTGCTGTGGTGGGAAAAATAGGAAGAAGTATTAGATAGGTTGCTGCTTTGAGTTATTTATAAAAATAATAAGGGGAAAATAAAAATGAACAAATGCAATATAACTATATCTATCTTCCAGATAAAATAGCTTTAAAAATGTAACATTTAAACAGGTAGGTTTCTTTTAATGGATTAATCATATATTATATGATACTGTGCAAAAAGTACTGCTCATCTGAATTTTGAGGAACTTCATATTGGATCCATGTTCCAAATTATTATTGTACTATACACAGAATTTATACTATATATGCTTGATCACATCTTTATAATCTAAATTCTTGATTTAAGACCATCAGTCTGGATTTTAATTCCCACAACTAAATATAAGTAACACTGACAAATATAGGACAGAATTCTGTTCTGTCATGATGGATGATACATCAAGGACTATCTGTATAGGAATTAGCACAATATTAATATTTCAAAGTCATTGAGTAACAGGAGCCCATTCCTGCAGGCTGGGAAACATGGCAAAAGTAACATCAATTTTATTCTTATTTATATTTCATATTTTAAGATATTAAAATCTTTGTTTCGTGGATTGGCAATCTTTAAAGGGGCCCTATCATATAATTTAGTGCAATGTCAAGTGAACAATACTCACAAATGAAACATGTTTTGTTTTGCATTTTTAAAATTAAAAAATTGAAATCTTATTCTACACAAAACAGATTTTGTGAAATGTACGTGCCTAGATTGTGACTGTCATTAATTTTTAATTTGACAGGTAACACTTTTTCTGTATTTGTTTTTCATATAGTGCAGTAAGCATACTAGAGATGGTAACTCCAAACATACTTTGTATGTGTCCCTGAACCTCTTATTTATATTCTCCCACACTGAAAAATATCTCTGAAGTCATAATGCCAGATTTTAAAAATAAACAACTGAATGACTTTCCACCAACATTTGGTGAAAAATAAAAAAAATGTATTCTTTTGGCAAGCTTAGCACATCTAGAAAAGTGAAACTGCTCAAAGCAACTAAGAAGACATTGCCAATCTAATTCTTAATGGCATTATTACCTTCCAAATGCACACTGCATCAGATTACTTAAAAATGATTTAAATAAAAATTGTAGTCCCTATTCACTCAAAGATTATCCACTTTTGTACAGTTCTCTTCCCCCCAAGAAGGTAGGGTAAATCTGAATCCCGGAATTTAGCCTGTTACCATAAACTTCAAAACAAATAAATTGATTTTAACAGTACAGATTCAAAGACGATATCACAAGGAAGTAAAAATAGCAGCCAGCAAAGTTGCGATATGAAGTATATAAGTAATTAGATCTAGCAACTGAGGTGGATTAGTTGCTAGATCAGAGATGTTTGTAAAAAAATTCAGGTGGCATAAATAGAATAGTTGCAGAACAAATGGGAGAGTGCTTTGTGTATGAGTAAACCAAGAAAAAAAATGAAAGCTTTGTCACTTGCCTTGATTTTTCTATCCTGCATGAGGAGTATGCAGATTCCATTACTTGTTTCCATAAATGCATAGTTGATGAAAATAAGAGCTGGATTGATAATTTTAGAATTATACCAAATATGTTTTGAATGTATGCAGTCACCCACCACTTTATACACACACATATTATTTTTAATAATATTTTATACATATTTAAAATATTGATAATAGTAGTAAAATCTAATGCAAATTTAAATTTAAAGAGGAAGGAAGAATAAAGTGAAGAAAAAGCAAAGTGGGAATATAATAAAGAAAAAAGAACATATATCCATACTATATATATGATTTCCAATATTCATTACAAGTATAAACAAATGTAGTGGCTTTCCACTTCTATCAAGGCTACAAAGAAATATATCTTCATCCCATATCCTATCCTTTATCCACAAAACATCAACTTTTCAGTCAAGTCATCACCAAAAGTCTAAAATCTGGGACGATTTTTAAAAGTGATTAGAAAATGAAGTTGTGAAGTTAGTTTCTTTAAAAACTCTGCCAGTGGTGCAATCAAGTATGCTGATCCCTTCATTTCCCAGCACTCAAGACACACAAAAAAACACTGGTCCTTGCATGAAGCAGCCATCTGGAACATATAGGTGCTGTCTCATCCTAATCCAGAGAAGTTCCAAGAAACCAGTCAACTCACCAGTGTTTTGGTCTTTTTTGTGGTCATTTCCACTTTTGCAGAGCTGTTTACGGTTTGCCATTATCTCCCCTGGAAATCCTCTATCTCAAACATATGGCTTGAGGCACTAATAAGAAATAAATATATAAAAATATAGCAAAACACTAAATAATAAAGATAGGAGCCAAGGTAAAACCACACAATCAGCATAATCAAGATATGTGCTGAACCATGTACCCTAGGCCCACAGATCTGTATTAATTCTCCTCCAAAAGAAATTCTTTTGGATGGGCAGAGATGTCATTTTCAAATCTCAATAATTTTCCCGTAAGATTCAAGTACTTTTCTTGTTCCTTATTTTTTAAATTTTCTTAAACAGGTAATCCTGTTATCCTGATTTCTATAAAACTGTACCAAAAAATAAAAATACTAAAATATTAAATGGTTTCCATCATTTTAATTAAAATTATTTTTTCTTTGTTCCTTCTACTCAGCTCCAATTTGAGCAAGAAATTTAGCTTTTACCAAATTTTACAAGAAAATGAATTGTCATTTGGAATGGTTTATATGTACGTGTGTGCTAAGTTTCTTACTTATATTTTTTAGATATTCCTTTCAAAGGATACCTAAAGTCTGCAGACGTACTTCAAGATGTGTAGTTCTGTTATTCCCAGGCTCTGGTTTTTAACAGATCGACGTATCCGAGAAGATTATCCTCAGCAGGAAATTCTAAGGGCACTTAAAGCCAAATGTTGTGAAGAGGATCTAGACTTCCGAGCTTTGCTGATGGATGAAGTGGTCTTGACCATTGAGCAAGGAAATCTGGGTAAGAATGCTATATAGAAGATATGAATTGATGACTGTTAGTAGAGTATGGAGGAGAATATTTGTAGCTCAGGGTTGAAATGAAGGGTCCTTGGTGCTCTCTGAGCTTGCTTGTTTTCTTGCAGATGTTTCATTACCCAAACTAGGTAACATCATCAGTGCTATGGAAATGTCAGAAATGATTGTATTTGGTCAGCCTGGCATTGTCTCTTGTTCTTTTGGAAAATAAAGCAGATTAATAATTAAAATGGTAGCCACATCATAGCAGAATTCAAGGGGGATTATAATAGCCCCAAGGGGTGGGGTGTCAACCTACAGTGCTATGTAATGTAAATGTGTCACCAGCTCTGTCTTGGCATTGAACATTGTTCCGTATTACAAGGCATATTTCTATTGTGCTGTACCATCAGTATATTTCAACTGCAGTGAAAAGCTTCCTACTACAGTCTTCCCTAATCTGAGCCCACCTGATTTTTGGACTAATTCCCAGTTTTGGAATGGCTGGGAGTAGCTCAATTAAATAAAATAATTATTTTTGAATTTCATTTTCCCCTCCCCATATGAAAGCTATGTCATCTTCAAAATGTTCATTCTGAAGAAAGTGAATTGATTTCTGAGTCAATGTCCCACAAGAAATTTGTAGAGAGGTAATATCTAAGTATACATATATTAATACCCATCAAAAAGTTATTAATGCTGATTTATTTCATTTATGTAATTTGTATCCATTATAATCAGCTGGTTGATAGATTTTACAAGAACATAATACAACTAAAACACTCATGTTAAGAATAAAATAGTTTAAAATTATTATAAATATATAATGGATGCCCACAATAAAAGAAAATAAATTTCAGAAAATATTCAAGCAGCAAAAATAATAGAACAATATTAATGGTGTACTTCAGTCTTCATTAGAAATAATACATGTAGTTTTCTAATGGTCATTAGCAAGTGTTTGAAATTAAAACGGTGCTGAATGAATTAATATACTTGTTTGAAGTTACAGCTGTTGTTGCACTGTCATGGTCACATAATAAAAATTCAAGCACTTATGACTACAGGGGTGCTCCAATTCTCCACATGCCTGTCTTCCAGATCTAGGTAGTCCTGCACAGCAGCAGTAGGCAGCCCTCTATATCAGCCCTAGCCTGCTACTGCCACTCAAATGCCAGCACTGTATTCTCCAAGGTGTGTGTGCTTTGGTGAATGGCACAATTGCCCTCACTGCCCAATACTGAGGTTTTGCTTTGTTCTGCCCACCTTCATGTGTTTTTCTCCTGCTGTTAAGTGGCTTGCAATGACCTATCTGAGGCAGCTCTTGGAGCCTCTTCACTCATGACTTTGGAAACCCCCATAAGCCCTGCATGAACAGAGCCCATTCTTTGGAAACTTCTGGAAGCCCCATTTGACTTTGGAAGCCTCTGGAAGCCCTGCATGACTTTAGAAGCCTCTGGAAGCCCCATATAAATAGGCTCTTTTCTTGACCTTTCGGAGGCTTCTGAACTCATGCAGGGCTTCCAGAGGCTTCTGAACTCATGGATCTTCTGAAGTCATGTGCAAACAAGTTCTGTTCTTCAGGAGCTTCAGGAAATCCCACTTGACTTCAGAAGTCTCCAGAAGTCACACACAAATTTGTCCTGCACAGACAGGGGCTTCTGAAGAATTGGACAATAAGTCAACCCCCTATTCTGAAAAACAGGTATTGTGTCCAATCTTTTCTTGAAAATTTCCAGTGATGGAGCACCCACATCTTCAGGAAGCAAGCTGTTCCGTTGATTAATTTTCTCATTGTCAGGTAATTTTTCCTTAGTTCCAGGTTGGATCTCTCTTTAATGAGTTTTTTTCCATTGATTCTTCTGGGGCTTAAGGGGCTTTGGAGAAAAACATTGATCCCCTCTTCTCTGACTGTTTCTCAAGCAAGGAGAGATCACTATCATGTTACCCCTAATCCTTCTCTTTGATTGGTTCCACATACATACTTTAGACATTCATAGTATGGTTTAGCCTCCAGACCACTCATCATCTTTGTTGCTCTTCTTCATACTCTTTAGGATCCCAGGGTCTTTTTTTGTATTATGACAACCAGAGTTGAATGCAGTATTCCAAGTGTGGTCTTGCTAGTGCAGTATAAAGCGATACTATAACTTCTCCTGATTTTAATGCTGTTCCTCTATTAATGCAATCTAGGGCTGTATTGGCAGCTGCAGCACTCTGCTAACTCAGTACTTAAATGGTGGTCCACTAGAACACCTCGCAGTTAGTACTGTTGAGCCAGCTATTGCCTATTCTATACCTGTGCATTTGGTTTTTCTTGCCTAAGTGCAGCATCTTACTTTTCTCATCACTGAAATACATCTTGTTGAATAGGGCCCAATGCTGAAGTTTGTCAAGATCCTTCTGAACCACTGTTCCCTCTAAGGTGCGTGGCTGCGCGGCCGCGCACGTGGCAAGAAACCCCCGCGCAGCAGTTTCTAACTGCCG